TGGTGAATGCCACAAATTCTCCTAAATCACTCGTACACACAACTTAAGAACAAATGTCCTGATGCATCTCAGTAATCCAGGTAAAAAATCAAAAAGAAAAAAAGTTGTATAGGTCTTCTGGACAGGAGAGAATTAGAGAAGAACCCGTCCAGAAAACCTATACAACTTTTTTTCTTTTTAAGAACAAATCTGTGCGTACGAATGGTTCTTGCATGAGGCCCAATGACCAGTAAGTTAAAGCCTAACCTGCCCAGTTGTCAGTGAACCTGCTGCCAAATGAGTGACAGTTTTGCATTGTAAGGCCTGGACAGTCAGCTTGGTCTTAATCTATCAGCCCTGATTGTGTTTGCAGTGAGCAGAGAGATGTGGGTGGCATCATTTTAAAAATGTGTGCATCCTATTTTATTCGTGACACGGCAATAAACTTGAAGGAAATCTGATTGTACAGGACCATCCAGCAGTATGATGATTAAGACAAGAGGGCCCCTCTGCTACAAAACTGATTTACAGCAGTTCTGCCAAGCAGAAGCAGACAGAACTCCAGCTAACTATTGTGAGAAGCTTGAGGAAGGAACCCCAACACATTTAATCCAAGTCATACCGTTTAAAGGGATTTATACCAAATACTTGTTCTGATGCATCTCAGTAATCCAGGTAGAAAAATCCAAAAGAAAAATAAGTAGGTCCACTGGACGGGTTCTTCTTTAATGAAACGTTTCGTCTCTCCTCCAAGAGACTGGCAACAATCAGCCAAACAATAGATCATTAGCCTCGCACTAACGATCTATTGTTTGGCTGATGGTCCTCTTTTGCATGTGACTAACCTGTTTGTCAGAACCCCTCCAGAGGAATTACTTATTTTTTCTTTTTGATATACCAAATACTATTTAAAATGGATGTAAACTTTTGACTTTAAAATAGTAATAAAAGAATTGTCTCTTCATTATTTTGTAATTTAACAAATAATAATTTTGGGTATCCTAATGGACCTAATGCAGGAATGGTTTAGTCCAGGGGTGGGCAATCCTGGTCCTCGAGGGCCGCAGTCCTACATGTTTTACATTTTTCCCTGCTCTAACACACCTGATTCAGTCACTGAACTAGTTCTGCAATGTGGAGGACCGAAACTGACATTATTAGAAATAAAGGCAGAAATAGATAAACGAACCTTTAAAGAAATAAATACATTTAAAATGCACCAAATAAATTAAAAAGGAGAACTTTACCTTATATTTTATAATTTAATTGACCTTCATATTTATTTTTCCAGCTTAGTTCCAAGAAATTATACATTTTAACACATAATTTATATTTTAATGTTTATATACTGTATATGTTACATAGTTTTTTCCTTTAACTTGTACATTTGTCTCTTGAACACTGAAATTGAATTATTTTTATAATTTTGTCCAACAAGTCTTTTTATTTCTGTGTTGCATGCTTGTGCTGCTGCAGTTTAGCTTAAAGTTTAGTTAAAAATAAATGCACAGGTAATGTTTTCCTCCTTGCCTTTGTTTCATACTAAACTTTAAACTTTTAGCTAAACTGAGGCACAGGCATGCAACACATAGAAATAAAGACTTGTTGGAAAAATATAAAAATAATTAAGTATAAACATTTAAGACACACAAGCATGTACAAGTAAAAGGAAAATAAAGACTTGTTGGAAAAATATAAAAATAATTAAGTATAAACATTTAAGACACAAATGCATGTACAAGTAAAAGGAAAAACAATATATATTTAAAAAACAGTAAAATTTAAATTATGTGTTCAAATATATAATTTATTGGAACTAACCTGTAAAAATAAATATGAAAGTCAATTAAAATATAAAACAGGAGATAAAGTTCTCCTTTTTTAATTGAGTTGGTCTGTTTAAGTGTATTTATTTAGTGGTTCATATAATTCTGCTTTTATTTCTAATGATGTCAGTGTTGGTCCTCCGTACCGCAGAAGCCTGATAATCATCAGATCAGGTGTGTTGGAGCAGAGGAACCAGTACAACATGCAGGGCTGCAGCCCACCAGGACCAGTATGGACCATGCCTGGTTTAATATCAAACTAAACAGCCGGAGGAAGAACTGCTGATGCAGCATCTTTCCAGGGTCAGATAAAAACCTACATTAAACTGTAATATCCCAAAATCTGTGACGGAGGAGGACTCGGCTGCAGCAGGGTTCCTACAGTTACAGTCAAGTTAAATTTAAGACTTTTTAAGACTTTTTAAAGCCACTTGAAATAAAACTTAATACCAACTTTACGATAAACATGAATAGAAAAAAAAA